TTGATAAGGCAAGTTGGGAAAAAAATAAGTGAGGGGGGTGGGGGGGGGGGGGGGGGGGGGTGAAAATAATCAGATGTAACCCCCTTTGTAATTGTTAACAATTTCATAAGTAACTGTAATTGAACTTCACATTATTTCTCAGTAACTGTAAAGTTTTGTAATTAAATTATGTAAGGTTTGTATTATTATTCCTGCCACAATTACGCAAAAATTATGATTCAAGTTAAAGTTCTTTAAGTTCTTCAAGTTAAAAATTATGAGAATCTTTATCATAATTGTAGGATATCAGACCGAATCAGACAATCTAAGATTTGGTCAAAACCGAGTTGAGGCACGAGGAGTCACAAAAATTCCACAGAGGCCCAAGACAAATAGGATGTCATAAATCAGACCCTAGCCTCTCTGAAGCAAGCCTAAACCTAAGCCCCTGTCACAGAACAGTTTTCAACATTAACACAAAAGAACACATTGACAATTCCAAGGAGATTGTAAAATTTTGGGGCAAGTTATCAAGAATAATGGTCAAAAGAGATGTATGGGTTAATATGTTATTTAGGGGGGGAAAACACCTCATTATTATGACATAACATTTCATTATAGTGCAAAACTTTCTCATGATAATGACACAGTAACTCGTAATAATGAGAATTTTCTCATAATAATGACTTTGTTTCTCATAAATATTAGAAACTTTCTTGTTATAATAACATCTCATAATAATGAGAAACGTTCTTCTAATAATAATACTCCATCACCATGATGCAAGCATTGCATGCACTGTTGAGAACTTACTGAATTGGCTGAGAGTTGAGCTCATTTGTGCAACATCAATGCCGGTCTGAGTCTGAATGAAGTTTTGGACAAAGGGATTGCGCAGAGAATTCTGTGAAGAGTAGTTTGATAAGGAAGCAGTTAATGCAGTAGAGGGAAAAAAATAAATGAATCAAACAAAAAGTGTTTATTTGATTTTCTCTGGACTCGTTGTAGTATACCTGAAGTATCGGCAAGGTTTTTGTCAGGATGTCGGCAGACTGCATCACATATGACGATGACTCTATCCACTCGGATGCATAAAGCTTTAGATCACCAAACTGGTGCAGTGTAGAATTTGACTGCAGGAAAGAAGGAAATGTTTTGCTACAACAAATGTTACAAGAAAACACAATATTTTGCTTCATGACCAGACTACACATCTATATCTTAAAAGAACAATCCGATATGACTGTAAATATGTAGGTCAGATGACCAGATTTATGCTACAGTCCATCCTAAGTCAGAAACAGGATATTCCTATATATTTTATCTTTGCAGGTATCTGATTCTCAGCAAATACGTCTCCTAGCAACTATGTATGCTAACCATACAATTACCAACAGAGAAGGTCATTTACCATGTTTTTCACACCTGCCTCTGCAAACATTTTTAAACAGGTTTCATCATCATGTAATGTAGGAACGTTAAACGTAAACTACACTTTTCCCTTGGTGCTGTAATTTTTAATGTCATACTTCCACAATGAATAACATTTTCGTAGTACTTTATAAATTGGAAATCAACGTTTTTTTCAAGGCAGAAAACTGGAAATTCTAACTTTTGAAATACAAAACAAAACACGTATCTAAAAGTGGCCCAAACTGGATCCAATCACACATTTTTGCTTTTTATATGCATGCAAAAAAACTGAATTATCTCTGTGTCTAAAATCAGTGAAAAGCATAAATGTGGCCTAGATGCCAAATATTTATTTGTGAGATGTAAAATCAGCACCTTTCTCATGATCTCTCTCGTCACTGGTGTGTCTGGTGAGTACAGGACCTGTCCTAACAGCATGGGTTTGAGGAATGCCCAGGCCACCGCACCGCCTGTAGTGTTCACCATATCCAAGTAGAGGTTCATACAGAAGGGACCTGGACAAAAGCAGTATATTAATTAAGCCTGACCACAGCACTTCATCAAACTGAACTCAATATGCTGTAGACAGATTCTTGACAGGTCATTATCATAATGCTTTATTGCACATTTAGCTGTGTGCTGAGAATATGCGTTCATACTAGCATCGGGTGGGATTTTGAACTTCTTAATCAGCTCTTCTCTCTTGTGGTCCGTCTGGACGGAAGGATCAGTCTCGGTTACGATAGGAACTTTTGCGATGGCGAACAGTGTCAGGATGCCGTTTTTGCACAAGGCACGAGCGATGGTACTAAAGGTGGCCCTGCTAGACATGGTGGACCGCTTTCCCCTCACCAGCTGTGGGAGAGAGAATCCAAAGACACATTTTAAAATAAAATGAAATGAAATGAAATGAAATGAAATGAAATAATTAAATTAAATCTTACACTGTGGAACTCTTGGTTGGCCACCAGGTTTAGTTCTCCTATGTTTGTCAGGTATTCCTGCAGTTTGTTAAGGGCAGGTACCAGTTTGTGCATTATGTCCATCAAAAACTTTACCAGCTCTAGCATGATTCTCACCAAATCCTGAATTTCTTTGGACAACACCAGCTGCAACAAAATATCATAGGGCTTTTAGTAAAATTATTGATATATTGCATGATATAATTATTTTTTTCTGGAAAATAAAAAAGTTTATGTATGTATATTAAAAATATAAAAATAAGTGGCAATGTCTACAGTAGGTCTCAATAATTAAACACATTTGAATGAAGTAATAAAAAATATATAATTTGATTATTTTTCTCTCTTTACTTTAAACTTAATGGAAGCAAACAAAAGATTATTTATAATAAATGGCTTTTCATAATAAACAACCGGTACAGCAAATTCTTGAATAGCTAACAGTGAGATCAGGCTGCCCAAGCCCAGCCCCAATCTAACCATACAGAGAAGAATCCATAAAAATAAATGCATAAAACAGCAATCATTATTATTTAGTTTCATAGTAACTATATGCAAAACATTTCTTGTATTAAAGAATAAAATAGTCTATAATACAACAGATTAATACAAAACAGCAATAATATACACAATGGCCTGAAGAATGTGTGTGTTCATTCAAAGAAAGGTTTTCCTATGAATTAATTAGAGCACAGTCCATTTCTATTCTGCCTTTGTCCTGGGACAGAAAGACGCAGCCTTTCTGTTTCATTGGATGTACAATATATACAATACATTTTGTGCCCAGCTCTTTACCCTGAATAAAGCCTCCTTCATGTCCACATGACGAAGAAAGATAACCGTGATGCTGTACCATTCATGTGACAGTTCACAGAAAGTGCTGAAGATCTCCTGCCCTGTAGGGTCCAGTTGCAAAGACGAGGGGTCTGAGCACTGGTGCAGGTTTGCCAACCATGCCAAGATCTGTGAAGAGGGGAGAGATGACAAATAGAACACATTATAATAAAAATGCACTCTACAAGACTTCACACTGGTGAGAGACTCAGATATATGTTATTAAAGCATATTGTGCAAAAGCAGCTTCATCACGAATAAAGCCCGATACAACCCTCTGTGAGCAAGTAAAAGGCAACCATGGCAATGAAAATGCTCAATGTTTAGGTAAGATGAGTAGGATGGGGGGAAATCCTTGGGAGGAACCAAGACTCAGCAAGGGGAGCCCATCTTTCTCAGTATAAAGTGATTTAAAAAAATTTGTTTCTGTCTCACACTGTGTGAAGCCATGGATTTTGGACACATCTTGATCCCCTCTTATGTATGCATGAGTTGTGTTGTACCTGCATGTTGCTTCTGGGTAGAGGGTAATCTAATAGAGCCTGAAGAATGCGAGGGGGAAAGCTGGTATACCGCTCAACATCCTGAACAAACAGTGTGGCATTTTTCAGCAGCTCTAAAACTTTCACTTCAGCTGTCAGAACAAAAGACAAAAGACAAGTCAGAGAGCATGGCAAGGTTGAAACAGACTGATTGGACCACCATCTGATAGCTAAGGAACACTTGTGTTTCCGCAGTTCTTTTGCTTGAAGCGACAGCGGTACCTACCTGGAGATGTAATATTGATATTAAGAGTTTTCAGAGTTGAGATGTTGAAGCCCACAATTTGAGAGAGAGTTGATGTCCTTTATAAAAGAGAGAGAGAGCGCGCGTGATTAAAACTATGAGTAGAATTCCTGGACACAAACTGTTCAAAATGTGTAACATAATTATACAAAATGTTTACATAAATGTTATTTATATAAAAAAATTTCATATAAATAGTTATATGAAAAATAATATTATGACAATATAATAATTATCATAAATAATACTAAATTAGATGGAAAACAGTGACAAACAGTAACATCTAATTTCATTCAATTTTGTAAATGTATTTTAATTTAAAAAAAAGACATGAAAACATCTGATGAATCTGTGAATAATTTTTTGAACATATTCATTTGAATTTGGTGTCTGAACTGATTCACTAAAATAAATCAGACTTTCCAATGTTTCATATGAATTAGAAGTGGGGAAAAAGTGGAGTGAATTTGATTACTACCACAGTTTGCTCAGCTTGAAGTTGTGCATGCTAGAGAATGTTACACTAACAGCACATATTGAAAAAGTAGCTTGTTACTGGAAATGCTACATTGTTTTGTTTTTTTAAATACTTTCACTCTACTAAAAGTTACTCCCCAACATACATAATATAAGCTGCCACAACAAGGTTGAAGACCATTATAGAAAACAGTACCAGTCCACTTCAGTGTTGTAGGTGCTAGGGTCTCCAACAAAAGTCTGGAAAATCAGATCATAGATGTCGGTGCTTTGGTTCACCAGGTTGGTTGTGAGCACATGGAAAGCCTGGATTGTGGGAACAACAGTGTCGCATAGCAGTCTGGGGCCCAGAGGAAGAAAATTGGTGATCAGCTGCACAGAGGCCATGTTTTCCAGAGCGCACACCTACATTATCAGAAAAGAAGTTGGCTTCAGAATACTTGAAATATAAGATACGAGTCATATGGACTAACAATTTGTCCTTCTGTATTCTTTTTGCAACTTGGTATGGCATGAGCTTACCAATAAGTGAATAGTGACAAGATAGCAATTTTTGCTGGCATATTCTTTAAAAAAAAAATTATATCTAAACCATCAAAAATCTCACCTTAGTTAACAGGTGGTCCAGTATTATGCCCGAACTCTCATTCGCCCAGTTGGCTGAGCCTAATTCAAAGGCGGCGTTTAGCACTTGCAGTAGAAGATGCAGATTTTCTGCAGAGAGGTGAGAGAAATGGAAGAGGGAAAACATAGATCAAGCTTTTGCAGAGCTAAAGTAACTTAAATTCCCTACAGGCATCATTACTTGCACCTAACTCCACTTTCAGGCCAACCTTGCAGTGCAACAAGCAGCAAATGATCTAGCAAAGAATCTCTCCTTAGAAATTGAAAGCTTTATGCTGCCGTGTGCTGATTTAGATCTGACAGCACTTACATGTGCAACACCTTAAGCAATATAAAAGATCAGACACTTATGAGGGAAATTAAATGCTCAGCAAGACATCAGCTTTATTAAAGAAAATATAAAGCAAACTGAGATGTTTAAATAGCAGCTTATCAATGAAAATGAAGGAGTGCTGCAAACAAAGAAAGTGAGGAATAAAAACTGTGGATCTCCAGAGGGGGAAAAAATGGTGTACTCTTGAATAGGATAGTTCTAAAAATCTATCTTATCTGATAAAAAAAAAAATCTGTAAAACAAGATAACTTTATTTCAGAAGAAAAAGTAATACTTGACACTTGTTTTCAGAGCATACAGAGCATATCTTAATTAGGTTTATTATTTTACCCCAATGTTAAATTATTTTCTTGCTTAAAGCACAAACATCACTAAGTTTAGTTAAATCTATGACTAAAACAAAAACTATTTGAATACATTTAAGGGTTACAGAAAATACTACTTGCATGCAGGTTTGGAATGACACAAAAAAGTTTTTAAAAAATTACCATTCAAATTTTTGGGTGAAGTAGTAATTTAAATAGACATTTGCTATTTTAAAGAGCACGTGCACTGTAAAAGGCTTTCAAACTCTGTCTGGCCACATGCCTCCTGGCTGAATATTCCAGAAAGCTGACTTCAACAAAAATAAATTATGCAAAGAAATAATTATGTATTCACACGGCTTAATGCAAAATACTTATATGCACTATATGCAATTGTGGGAGCATAAGATTGTGGAAATAAAACCCCTGAATGAACAGTGTTATAGGTCAGTAGATTTGCGAGATGATTTATGTACCTTGGGATTCGTTGGCCAGACTTCTCATGATGGACTTAATAAGAGAAGAATACTGCAGGTCTTCTGGAAGGCTATTAGCGAGGTTTGTCAACAGCACAGGCAGCCTATGTAAACAGAAAAGTTTAATTAACTAACAAAACATCATTCTTTCTGCTGAGTTAGCTTTATCATAATGTACTACTATGGATTATGATCATTTATTTTCATGAACCTAAGAATCTGTAAGAATGTGTGCTTTTCAGAGTCATAAATTACATTTCTCTGAAGAAGTAAGCAATTATGCAAGGTAAATGCCATGTAATGAACAAGAAAAAGAGATGGAAAACTGGGCCTTGTTATGAGCTCATAACCAGAAACCAGCCTTGGGAGCAAAACCTCAAAGAAACTCACTTGTCAGTCCAGTTAGAGTCATATGCCCGAACTCTCATTCGCCCAGTTGGCTGAGCCTAATTCAAAGGCGGCGTTTAGCACTTGCAGTAGAAGATGCAGATTTTCTGCAGAGAGGTGAGAGAAATGGAAGAGGGAAAACATAGATCAAGCTTTTGCAGAGCTAAAGTAACTTAAATTCCCTACAGGCATCATTACTTGCACCTAACTCCACTTTCAGGCCAACCTTGCAGTGCAACAAGCAGCAAATGATCTAGCAAAGAATCTCTCCTTAGAAATTGAAAGCTTTATGCTGCCGTGTGCTGATTTAGATCTGACAGCACTTACATGTGCAACACCTTAAGCAATATAAAAGATCAGACACTTATGAGGGAAATTAAATGCTCAGCAAGACATCAGCTTTATTAAAGAAAATATAAAGCAAACTGAGATGTTTAAATAGCAGCTTATCAATGAAAATGAAGGAGTGCTGCAAACAAAGAAAGTGAGGAATAAAAACTGTGGATCTCCAGAGGGGGAAAAAATGGTGTACTCTTGAATAGGATAGTTCTAAAAATCTATCTTATCTGATAAAAAAAAAAATCTGTAAAACAAGATAACTTTATTTCAGAAGAAAAAGTAATACTTGACACTTGTTTTCAGAGCATACAGAGCATATCTTAATTAGGTTTATTATTTTACCCCAATGTTAAATTATTTTCTTGCTTAAAGCACAAACATCACTAAGTTTAGTTAAATCTATGACTAAAACAAAAACTATTTGAATACATTTAAGGGTTACAGAAAATACTACTTGCATGCAGGTTTGGAATGACACAAAAAAGTTTTTAAAAAATTACCATTCAAATTTTTGGGTGAAGTAGTAATTTAAATAGACATTTGCTATTTTAAAGAGCACGTGCACTGTAAAAGGCTTTCAAACTCTGTCTGGCCACATGCCTCCTGGCTGAATATTCCAGAAAGCTGACTTCAACAAAAATAAATTATGCAAAGAAATAATTATGTATTCACACGGCTTAATGCAAAATACTTATATGCACTATATGCAATTGTGGGAGCATAAGATTGTGGAAATAAAACCCCTGAATGAACAGTGTTATAGGTCAGTAGATTTGCGAGATGATTTATGTACCTTGGGATTCGTTGGCCAGACTTCTCATGATGGACTTAATAAGAGAAGAATACTGCAGGTCTTCTGGAAGGCTATTAGCGAGGTTTGTCAACAGCACAGGCAGCCTATGTAAACAGAAAAGTTTAATTAACTAACAAAACATCATTCTTTCTGCTGAGTTAGCTTTATCATAATGTACTACTATGGATTATGATCATTTATTTTCATGAACCTAAGAATCTGTAAGAATGTGTGCTTTTCAGAGTCATAAATTACATTTCTCTGAAGAAGTAAGCAATTATGCAAGGTAAATGCCATGTAATGAACAAGAAAAAGAGATGGAAAACTGGGCCTTGTTATGAGCTCATAACCAGAAACCAGCCTTGGGAGCAAAACCTCAAAGAAACTCACTTGTCAGTCCAGTTAGAGTCATTCATCCCCAGCAGATGGCCGATATTCATGCTAGAAGCCCCCAGCACTATTTTGGGGAGTTCAGACTCCACACTGCTGCTATTGCCCAGCGAGATGAGATTTTGGATGGTGTGCAGTATCTGCTGGGTAATATCAGCCGTTTGGGTGAGAGGGCTTTGGTCTGCCTGGATGATCATTAGGATTCTCTTAAGGGTCTGCTCTAGGTCACCTATAATGCTGCTGGAGGAGTTTGTGTTCATGTGGTGCGCCATGGCCAGAAGGTTGTTGACAGAACTTACTACTTGAGATACAGCGCCACTGACATCCCCAAAGGTGCTGGTGTCATTAAGAACAAAAGATATTGTCTCCATTAGGTTGAGTGTGATATTGATGTATGGCCGTCCCTCAACAGGCATTATCGAGTATATGGAAGATGCAACCTCACTTAAAGAGTTCACTGCTTGTGAGATTTGGATAGGGGAACCGGATAACATAAGGCCTTGGCAGAGACTCATGGACACTTGATTAGACACGGTCATGAAGATGTAAACAAGGCCATCTGGAGTCATATGCGTGGATGTCGGATCATAAGTAATGTTTAGAGAGTTGAGAAGAGACTGTGTAACCAGCTGGGAGATTTCTGGGAAGTGGGATGCGATTTCTGCAGTGTTGGATACTTTAGAGAGGGCAGTGAATAGAGCCGATTTGATAGCAAAGAGGTAAATGTGCGTTTCCTTGGGAAGAACGACAACCATCTGATTGAACGTCTGGGTCAAAAGCATCTCCCTCTCAGCATTACTGCTCAGACTATAGTTTGACATGGAGAGGTTGAATAGAATGTGGTTGGCCATGGCACTGCTAAGGATCAAGGGATGGGTGACCTCTTGAACATATTGTCCATTTGGAAGAGTTGTAATATTCGAGAGGGCAAGAACATGGTTTAGGGAGTTAGAAATCTTGCTGGTGGACATCATGACTTTTTCTATGTCTCTGGGATATGCCTCGAGCAATGCAAAGGCTTGCAGCATTTGTCCAGATATGTTGAAATACACAGCTACCTCTCCAGAGAGAAGTGAGGTGAAGGCTTCTGCAGTTTGATTAACGGCTGCCAAATAGGATGCTATGCTCATCTGCGACCCTGGACTGGAAAACGAGCCAATTAAGTTTTGGAGAATGCCAGTGACCTGAGGGCTGATGGCCTTGCTTTCTTCAAAGTTCTCGGTAAGGATGCTGTTGAGAGCCGTAAGGAATTGGATCGCAGTGTTGGTGCCATTTCCATCCTGTGAGATGATATTTGACACCGAAGCTTGAAGTTGCTGGGCCATGTGCTCAATTCCTTGAGGAACGTTCAGGGGTGGCTGGTCGGATAGCACCATGGCCACGTCAATTGTTCTTCCTAGGCTCTCTGCAAGTTTCTCTACTTTATCAAGGTCCTGCAAACTCCACCCTTCACTACCGATGTCCATGAACATCTCCAGAAACTGCTGCCCATTGCTAGGGAGTGTCAAGTAGGACAGCACATTCAGAGCTGTGTCAATGGTTTCCTCCTGACTTGTGCTTCCAGTCATTTCTTTCAAATAACCCTTCAGGATGACACCCAAATCTGGATTTGCAAAGAAAACATGGACAGTCTCCATAATTTCAGTCGAGGTGGGTGGAATGGAAAGAACTTCAAGCAAAGCTTGGTAATCGATGTCAAGAAGATCAAGGAAGTCATCCACTGGCTCTCTCTGTACTTCGCTAGCAATTCTTCTGGCATTTCTTGTGTGGGACACAAGACCTTGCAGGTTCTGTCCCTGAGCAATTTGCATTTTAAGTGGGCTTAGATATTGTTCCACAGGGTCGAAGAGGTCACTGGTTAGTTTGATCTGTTTCAGCATGTACAAAACATTCCCAAAAAGGTCAATAAAGGTTTCTGAGAAGCACGGCAGTGGCATCTTGGTTAGGGCATCTCTTACTATCTCATATAACTGGCGCAGGATCTCCAAGACAAAATGTAGCCCAGTATCTTGAGTAGTGAACAGCCAGTTGAAAAATTCAACAGTTTTCCATAGGGTGCCACTTGTATCTTCCAAATACAGAACTTGCTGCATTACTCCATAAAGGGTAGGCCAGTCTCCCAGCAATCCCGTACCAATGATTTGCTGGATAACCTCTTTTATTAAGCTGTCAACTGTGCTTCCATTTGGGTTCATAAATATGTCTCCACTCAGGATATAATTAATGGTTTCCTTTGTAAAATTCATTCCAGTAAGCGTGATCTCCAGAGCCTGCATGATGATCTGAGGGCTTGCAGTTGAGTACTGGAGGAGATTGCCGTTCTGGAGGATGACCTCTATAGTTTTTCCAGCTGCCTCGATGTATGGCGTCATCCAGGGAGCTTCTCTCTTAATTTGATCCAGAGCCATTTGTACTGTGGAGAGACTGATGAATGAGAGAGAAATTAGTACTGCACGTTCACAAAAAAAGTTACAAAATAATAAAAAATGTCTCTTTAAGGATCCATTAATAGCTGGATTAAATAATGTACTGTTATGCATAAATGTGAAAGATTACGAACCATTACAGTCCAACATACTTAAATGTAGAGTTGATGGGATCATTTATGAATTTTTAAACTAGATTACTTATATTTAAAAGCTGCACAACATTAGTCCATATTTCATGTTGATTTTGCTCTCCATTTCAGCGGGCACTCACATTATATTAATAGAACTGAATGGTTATAATAGACTTTATTTATAATAGACCATTTCCATCATGTTTCATCATCAATGATCTACAGCGGGTGCATAAATGTTTCTGCAGTCTTATGTGATTGTTTCACCCAGATATGCACAAATGCATAATTTGATTCCTATCAGTAGTCAGTTCATTACAGGGATGAGCACATAAAGCAGAATCAATTTAAGAGCAGGGAGATAGAGATAACATAATAATAGACACTACTTTATCTGCTCAAACCTGTTTGGAAGCAAAGGAGTCAAACTGAATAAATCAACCTTAATGCAAATTTAATTACTCTTACTTAGTTTGTTTGCATGATTCCAACCCCTGGTCCTTATGGGTAATGACTGTAAATCTCTTAGCAAATTTGAGAAAGTATTTCAGTAATATAATCAGGCTTGTGATAATGTCGAGGTATAATGGGAGTGTGAGTGCGGGCGAAATTGTTGCACACTTTTGTTGTTGGCAATTTAGTCAGGCTATACAGTTTGAAAAATAATGGTGAAAAGCTCAATAGTGTTTATCTTTGTAAAAGATCTTTCTCTGTTATAAGACTGCCGTTTGTTTGTCGTCATGTAATATGACTTGGGGCATGTATCACAGTACGAATATATGTTAGTGTAAAAATGACTCCAGTGCATTAATACCTTTGGTACAGCTGCATCTGGAAGAGTTGGGCATTCCAGTCAGCCTGGTTTGTTATTTCTAGCACTGAGAGGTTGGATAGCATTGATGTATGCAACAGGACTTCTGTAAGGTGATTGCTAGCAAAGGTATTGTTCAGGATCGCCCCATAGAAAGTCTCCAGTGACTCTGCCATCATTCCTGCAGTGGCGTTTATCCATAGAGGGTTCATTCCCTGTTTAGAAACACAGAGGATCAGTCTAAATCAGTCTTTAGTGCACACTACCATGTGTTGACACATGATAGTTGCATTTGAGAGCCAAAGGCTGTTATTGTAAAACTGGAACTTATTGTCTCACCGTCATATTGAAGGCTGGAGCTGGTTTATCAAAGGCTGCTATGACTGGCAGTAGGCTGTTGTTACACCACAAAGCAACAGTGTCTTCGCTTATTCCAGCACCAGCTCTGACATCCTGCCATATTTGCTGCACGTAGCTGCAGTTCAGGCTCTGACCCCCCAAACAAGCCTGAGGGGTGAGCATCAGAAAAAAGATAATTATCACAGAAGTTTAACACACTACTGTCTAACAGAGAGATTACAAGAGCAACAGGATGGCAATGAAACTTTTTTTTTTTAGTTCTTTAACAATTTACTATTTAATACTGGAGACAAGATGTCGTCACATTCACAGAGACACAAGAAAAACTACACACAGATATCCTCAGTTTGTCAGGGTGTCAAAAAGTTTAGACCATATTTCATACATTGGGCCCAAGGGAAGGGGAGGGGGACCCATTCATGATCTTGTTTTATGCTTTGTGAATTCAAGTGATGTGAAAATGTATACAATCATAGACAAATCATTCACTGAACATGTAGTAGGGAAGAAGGGATATATGACTCCTACCAGGATTAGAGCATCTGCTGTAAAAGGAAACCAAATTCTCTCTAGGGATGAAAAGCAGCACCTAATGCGTGCTAGGTAATGTAGGCTAGCTGTTTATCTGTGATTAATACACTTCTTGGCACACTGAGTGGGCCTTTTGGGCCAAGGTGGTTGAATTCATTTCAGAAAAAATAAGAAGTCAGAACATTTCCCAAATACATTTAGTTGATGCCTGTGCCTGTTTGGAAACACACAATAAGCTAATTAACAACTAACACCAGGGTTATGCAAGATCCAGTATCCTCGATGCCTGATTAAAAACATAGTATGTTACTATGATATCTTGTCTTTACTAAGAAAAATAGATTTTGTGACAAATTCACATTATTTTGTGGCTTCAGTTACTCTTTGGTCAGCATAATAGGTAGCAATCAAGAGTACCCAGAAAAAGTAGTCTCAGCCACTGAAATTTTGAATTCAAGTTTAAAATCAAGTCATTTGAATTGGCTAGGGGGATGTCGTCTTAAGGGGAACCACTGTAAAACAACTGATCATACATACAACTTTCCATTTCGATTTTACACTGTCATACTTCCATAATGTCACTCTTTCTTCTACTGTCACTAGGACTTCAGCTATTTTAAGCTGAACCCACAACAAAAACACATTGTTGGTGAGAACACAGTATCATACACATGACTTTGCTATTGATGCAGTATGTCTCATAATCATTTCTCAACAATCTTCAGTGGGATTATATAGAAATTCCAGCTCACCAACCCTCTATTATATGCAAAAACCAAACAACGCCACCAACAGAGATGTACAGAAATGGAGAGGAAACATGGGAGAAGGTGAATGGTGCAGGGGAGGAAAAGGACTTAATTCAATTTGTAAAATATTTTTAGAATGCATTAATTATTAAATCAATAAATAAACGCAGTAATACTAATAGTAGATACATATGGTTCGGGTTTATTTTACAATAAATATGTGGCTATTTTAAAGCTTCCCCTTAGTGCTCTTGTCTTATTCTCCTTTTCCGTCTCCAAAACTATTCTGCTTGCAGGTGATCGGAGGTAGAGGTCTTCACGGGTTCACTTGGATCCGAAAACCCGAGGTCCGACCCGAGACCCGAGATGGTTCGGGTCCAAAACTTCGACGAGTACCTCCGACACAGGTCGGGTTCGGTATTAGCGCCCTCAGGTCTCGGGTAATTTAAAATAAACATGCTTTTCCCAAATGGACCCGATTAGACCCGAATTCTTTTAAACTATCCCAAATGCGTAGGTTAGGCTGCTTTCACTTTTGTGTTAAGAGAGGAACGCACATAGAAAAGGAGCATACGTTTGTAATCCTCGCACACAGACATAATTTTATAGATATGAGATCCATCAGGAAAATTCACTCGCTTCATTATGCTGCGTGTTCATGCAGGGCTTTTCTTTTTTGTATGCAGAAGCCTTTCGCCGGAGATCAGGTTGCAGACAACAGCGAATCCATAGGCTATCGATTTATTTTTTATCAAACTATCACGTTTCTTTTTCAAATCCACTGGTCACAATTGAAAGCGGAGCTCAGAAATAGGCTACCTTGTATCCATCAGGCAGGCACTAATATAAAGTAACCTAATAATAAATTGAATAAATGTTAAATAAATCAAAGTAATGGAGAAGTGGCCAAATCAGTCAACAGGACACCGGGATTTTTCCTGACTGACTGCGGGGCTGCAGGCTGTACACACGTCAACGCCGTTTACAGTCGGGTTCGAAAATAAATGCCGTCGGGTCGTGTCGGACTCGGGTTTATTCCAGTGGTGGACAGTAACGGAGTAGCTTTACTTCGTTACTGTACTTCAGTACATTTTTCAAGTATCTGTACTTTACTGGAGTCGTTTTATTTTGAGTAACTTTTACTGGATTAATTATTGTAACTGAAAATCATATTTAGGTCAAAAATGTCAGTTGTTTGTGAACTAAATCTGCTGTAAAGGGTGATCTATGTAAGCCCACTGAAATGATTGAATGCAGACACATCAACATCTGTGTCTCTATTTTAGGTAAAAAAACATTTAAAAACCCGAAACATTAAAATAACACAGACTAAATTAAATAATTCATATTCCCCGCTGCCGTAACGTTAACAGTTTTATTAAAATGCAACGTCTGTTTTTATATTGTTTATCAACAGTATACATTTTTACATTGTTTGGATTAACTATAGCCGAGTAGACCGATATGAATGTTTATTCATAACCATACTGAAAATAAGTTAATATTGTTAGCTGATGCTAACTGTCTAGCTAACAAGCTTGCTGGTGCTAAGTTGAGGTAATTTTTAGATATAAAGTCCAAATATTTTTATTCAACCACCTAGATAGATTACATCTGGGAGAAAAAGAAAGGATGTGAAGTTCAGAACATGGTAACTACAGTAATTATCAAAGTGGGAAGTGATGCCCTCTGGGGGCATTTGGCCAGGGGTGTTTTTACACCACAGACAAGGTTTGAGAAAAAAAAAATCATTATAAAAATATATTTATATTTTCCTTAAAATGTTCTTCCTAACTTCAGGCCTTATTCTCATGTCATATATAACTGTGATGTTCTGCAAAACAACAAGCTTTAAAACTCTTTTTTCTTACTGGTGAAAATCAGATGAGCAGATCTGTTTTCTCTCAGGTACTTCGCAGTGTAAGCTTCACAGTGAACATTTCTACATCACTCTCGTCAATGTAGTCCATATCAACAACAAAAATATATCTTGACTCCATATAGTGGTTATTTTGGGAAAATCCCAGGTATTTTGAGCAGTAGGATTATTAAAAATATTTGCTAATATAAGTAGCCTACATAAAATTACAAAATAAATCTATCAGTACTTTTTTACTTAAGTACATAAATCGAGTACTTTTGTACTTTCACTCGAGTAAAATTGAAAAAGGAGTACTTTTACTTTTACTGGAGTAATATTTTATTATACGTATCTGTACTTTTACTCAAGTACTTGATTTGTGTACTTCGTCCACCACTGCTAATTTCATCGGGTCTGTCTCGGGTCGGGTTTTTCTTTAAAAAAAATGTATTTATGCACGTCAGGTTCGGGTAAGAAGTGATTCGGGTCAGGTACAGATTTTAGGACCCGAAAAGACCTCTAATCTGAGGATAGTGCGTGCCCTCCCGCTTTGTTACAGTTTGATGATTTTTGTAAAATAACTTCTGTTTTTGTTCTTCAAGCTTTGAGTTTACTATGTTGCAGGCTAATTTATTGGTAATAAACAATCGCTAATAAATAATATTGGGCTTGTTTTTGAAGCTGCGGTTACTTATTTATCTTGTGAGAGTTGGCAACACTGGTCTGTATAAGTCCACCACATCAGTAGATAGGAATGTTGTTCTAACCTGCAGAGCAGCTTCTGCAGTTGACAAAAGGGCCTGTGACAATCCACCAACAAAGGACTGAGAAGTGAAACTGCTTGTGTTCATAACATGAAAAATGCCAGACAAAAGGTTGGACAATGGCTGCTGGAGGACGTAGAGGAGCTCTGAGGAGAAGAAAGCACTTGCATTAGACGCATACGGTTCAGATATGAAAGAAATTGTCCGTAAACATGAACACCTACTCTGCAACTCTTTTGCAGCTGTATTCAACAGTAAGGCTTTGCTTTTCTCACCTGTTTGTGCCTGCATGTTGTGAGCACTGTTGACAATGGCTTGTTGAATTGTGGACACGACAGACGGCAATGAATCCCACATTGGAGTACCTTTAAAGGTTGAAAACAGAGCAGCCAACATGTCCTCCAACCTGTTGTTTAACAAACAGTCAGATTGACATTCAAAACTGAGAGTCAACAAGAAATATATCTATTTTTAATATGTATGCTCACTGGTTTGATTCCCGGGGAATGCATGCATTAAAAATGTATATATAGCTTAAATTCTGCCAAATGCATAAATGCAAATATATGTGTGATTTTAAATATATTAATGCTCTGGGATTCTGAAGAACCTTCTCCATCCTGAGTAATATGGCAGAATTTAATCAGCTGATTTAATCAGCATTCCATTAAAAGACTAAACAACTCAATTTTGGTAAGGACTGTCACTCCTACTGATTGTTTGTGCTGAAATCGTGAGGTGACAGATTAATCGACTGCCTCTGACATTTCTGTCACCACTTTCGTAATTTAAAAGTGATTTAAGTGTGGAAAAACCCCAAATGTTTGGCAATAGAATTATCATAGACAACATTCAGCTTTTGCGATGTGTGGCTTTGCATTAACCAATATATAAAGAGTTTGGTTCCAAAACGCTATAAATCCATTATTTTTCATATTGAAACTGTTGAAAATACACAACATGGTTAATCCGCATATGAAAGCCTCTGAACTTGGTCAATAATAATCTTATATACAGGCACTGGACTAAAAAATACATTAAATCAGTCATCGCTCCCAAAATGAATTCAACAGGTCACCTTGTTAATGCTATAAATTAATTACAGCAATAAAAGAAAATTTCATCAAGAACAAGAACATGAACAACAATATCACATTAGACCACAGACATTCCAAAATGACATTGCCCTTACATCTAACTTCCAAAAGTGTATTCATCTTTGCCATGTTACATTCATTTAGTTGATTAGTGCTATACACTGTATTACCAAAAACATGAATGGCATTAATAAAAACACTTACACTGACAAGCTACGCAATATCGCGTTCATAATCGAATGCGACTCATCTGCGATTATGAACGCGATATTGCATAGTCAGTGATCTACGGCTCTGTGTATCCATCTGAAAGCACATGATGGAGATTTACTATTAATCACAGAACCGGCTTTACTGACGAGATGCGCATGACAATCACATGCGATTTATCGTGCAGCCCTAAGTTTGCTTGTTGATCACAAAGTACAAAGTAGATGAGGAAAACTAGGATGCCGGGTGTATTCAAAGTGCCGCCATTACTGTCTAGAGTGCGTGGAATGATGCGCTGTGATTGGTTGTTACTGTTTACAGTGCATGGAATGGTGCGCTGTGATTGGTTGAGCGGATATATCGCATTCTGCAGAGAAGGGAGACTGTGTTTGTCGCGGTTTGGAAAGAAAGAGAGAAAACATGACATAATAACTCGGCGGATATCGCATTTTGCGTAAAATTAAAAATTGACTTTTCAATACCGGCCATATACCATACTGATTTTGGCGAAAACTCAATTTTTTTTAAATGGCGTTTATTGCGTTTTGGAACCAAACTCTTCATCTATACTAATGTATCAGCATTCATTTCAAACATTCAAACATGGTCAAAGTTGTCAGAGAATCTGAGTGTTATGGCCATCTCTCTGATTCTCTTGACTATATAAATGAAGCTTTCAACAAAAAATCAAATAGTGGGATGCCAGCCTTACTTGTCAAAGGTCAGCTGGTCAGCACTCCCGGAAAGGATCTGGACCAGAACGCCTACAGATTCTGTGACAGTCTGGACGGACTCATACATGAATGGTGACATAGTGCCCAGAAAGACTGCAAGCTGTGACATCACAAAAGAAGTTGACAATAACACATTTATGTTTGTGCGTGTATTATATTATTTTTATTCCTGCAATAAATCAACACATATCATAATATGGAGACATTTTCCTGTCAAAAGATTTGTTGGTTGTGAAGGACCTGTCAATAACAGGCCTTTGAGAAATAAAAGCAATTTACCTGTTCTGTTATTTCATTTAGGCTGCCAAGACTGAAGTTTCCTAGGTTGTGCCATATGTTTGTATATCCTGTGAAAAATATAGAGTACATATATCTATGACAACTTGTTTGAATAAAAAAGAAATAAGGCTTTAAAAAGTTTCATTAATATATGGCCACACTAACAAACTGTTTTTACAACGAACCCCAACAAACACCACACAGTAAACTTGCCTTCATTTGAGTTTAGAATATACTCTGTGACCTTAAGGATCACAGAGATGATGGGCTGAGCTGTGTTGTTTGGTGGCAGGGAATTCTGAAGCTCTCTCATTATATTCACAATGCTGAAAATGAAAAAGAAACACCAACTGTCATGACCTGTGCATACACAAATACATGTACTGCATATACACTAAAATTCAAAAGATTAGGGTTAGTTTTTGAAAGTCTCATCAAGGCTGCATTTATTTGATCAAAAACAGTAAAACTGTGAAAATGTTATACAATTTAAAATAGCTGTTCTTTTTTTATATATATATATTGTAATTGTGAAATATATTTCTGTGATGGCAAAGCTGAGTACAGCAGCTGTTGCTCCAGTCATCAGTGCCACGTGATCCTTCATAAATCATATGTAGATTTGGTGCTCAAAATCATTTCTTATTATTATAATTGATGAAAACAGCTGTGCTGCTTAATATTTTTTGTGTAAAAAGTGATACATTTGATACATTTTTGTCAGCATTTTTCATGAATAAAAAGTTTTAAATAATAGCATTTATTTCAAATAGAAAGCTTTTTGTAACATTATAAATGACTTTATTGTCATTCATTTTTTATCATTTTAATGAATCCTTGCTGAATAGAAGTATTTATTTATTTTTTAAAAATCTTACTAAGCCTTAACTTTTTAATGATAGTGTAGAGGGATGGATAGATGGATAAAGAGATAAAAGAACAGAGCTCTTTGTTTTTTGTTATCTACTGCATATTTACAGATCTCCTTGTCTATATATATATATATATATATATATATATATATATATATATATACTGTATATATAGAGAGAGACAGACATAGACACAATCTACTGCATATTTACAGATCTCCTTGTCTATATATATATATATATATATATATATATATATATATATATATACTGTATATATAGAGTGAAAGACAGACATAGACAGAATACTTTGGAAACAATACATAGTCTGTACTTACACTTCATTCCATTTGTCAGGTCCAGAAGATTGGGAGATGGTCTGCAAATACGCTAAAATGCTGTTTTTCATGGGAACCAACACCTCAGCCACCTCTGCTGGCAAAAGGTCATGAATAGCTCCCCCTAGCATCTGGACAGTCTCCTGTGTGAGGTGGTTAGCTTGCATGAAATATATATTGGGGTTCAGTATCATCTGAAGGGAACCGTTGAAAGCACCAAGAATATTGTTAACCACGTCCTGAGGTAGAGCTCCGGTTTCATTAGAAAAACTCTCCAGAACCACTCTGACTGTGCTAATGACAGCTTCTGTAAAGTTTTCACTATGGAGACCACCATCAGTGCTAGACACATGCAAAGCGTAGGTTAGTGTCTGAGACACCTGCTCAGCAACAGCCAGGAAGGCTCTGTCCTCAGGGGAGAGTAGGGGAGCCATGACTTGCAAAAGTTGGTCAAGATTCACTCCAGCTCCTGCAAGATCTACAGAGCTAACATTCCCCTGGAAGATTGCGGCGAGTGCCATTGTCACTTGTTGGTTAATGATCCAGTCCTTTGTCAAATTGCCTTCATTTGAGCTCAGAAGGTTTTTTGTGACCTTGATTATCATTGATATGATGGGCTGAGCTGTGTTATTTGATGGCAGGGAATTCTGAAGCTCTGTCATCATGTTTATAATGCTGAAAAAGAAAAAGTACATCAGTACAACTGTGATAATTCCTCCAAATATACATATAGTAAACACACACATACACATACATACATACTGTATATATATATATATATATATATATATATATATATAT